GCCATAAATTTTATACCTCGAACTTGTTGCTCACAATACAGTGATAACGTTATCTATGTAAATTTTAGATTTGGCAGCGGCTGTTGTGACGATACGACGAATCATGACTCTTGTAGTACCCCACGGCTAAGCTGGCTTCCCATGAACATAAAGCGTTTGATTGTTGAGAAGGCTAAAATATTACTAGGTATTGTTTTTTCTTTTTCAAAATTTTTGGTTTTATCTGTTAATACTTTAAACAGTTGCCTAAAAATCTTTGTGAATTGAAAACCTAAAACTTTGAAGTAATTATCAGCGTAAGGTTATGCTCTACTCATAAGGCTTTCGTGATATAGCTTTTGTACTTCCGATAATTCATTCAAGAGCAGCCCAGTCAGTACAGTGAGAAAATCGTTTGAAAAAGCAATGGATTCAAATCCCTACCGAGTCACTTGCGTGGAATTAAATAATGTGCTACACGTTGTAGTAACCACTTAATCACTGGTAATCGCCCTCATAATTGAGAATATGTTCCTAACTAATGCCACAGAGGTTAAAATCAACGCTGTGTAGAAGGCTCATGTAAATAATGATACTGCAATTGATTTTGTCATGAAACTACTCGATGAGTTAAAGACTCTTTCTTTCCATGAGTGATTCATGATTAAGATTTTCTGAATCCAACATGCCTTTTAAAGTAGAATCTTATGCAGTTGCCTAGTTAGTCAGTTTTAGTGACCAATTCTCGGTTTGTGTCGCGAAGGTAGACGCATCAAATTTTGTGTCCATCGTTGCCGATCCTGTGCCAACGTCTGAACTTTGTCTTTCCAGAAAGTTAACAGCATTCCATTATGGCCCCAAAAAGAGGGAGTAGGATCAAATGAAGGGTCCTATCTTTTTCACCCCGTAGTAAGCTTCTGACAGTTTTACGGAAGCTGATTTATTATTTTATTTTTTATAGAGGATGAAATACCCGTTACATCATCTGCTAGAAGTAAGAGGATCGATTCGCTAGATAATAGTCGGTGTCAGACCAAAAGCGCCAGAATATCTGGAGTAAGGTTTTGATGAATTGATCGACGTACAAATTTGGTAAGCTAAGTACAAACATAGTGCTTTCTTTTTTATGTCTTCTTTCTCGTGTTCTTCATCATGTGGTTACGTAGTCTGTCAGTGACGGGTTTTGCGAGGCTTACCCTCGTATGCTTTGTCTCGCTTAATTTTCAGTACTTAAGCGAATGATCTTTTCTTAATGCGCCTGTTCGGTTAAACTTTCTGCTGTCGATGTGCTATGAAGGCAATCGTGGCAGCAGGGTGCTTTCTGAGTTGAATGTTGCACTCTGCCGGATCCCTGCTTGAAAAGGAAACCGAAAAATGTACATATTGACTTGCTTGGCTGTGAAGATTAGCCTGAGAAATTAGACACTTATCGCAGATGGCATCGCTGCTGTGATAAGCATCACACACTCGGCTGGAAGATGGTGCCCTTCGACGGAGTATGACGAACGTGACATTCTTACGTTTAAAACCTTTTTGCCTATCATTAATATTCACAGTGTATTCGTCGTGACCATTTAGTCGTAGATATTGTTTTTATAAATAATATATCCTTATGGATCACTGCATATGGATAGCCGCATTACCCTGACAAATTGGTCTTTTCATACTGTTCGCTCGTGGCTGTCTAGAACGATTACAGCCAGTTTAGATTTCGAATTCGCGTAGAAAATATTTCTAATTTTCTTAGCCCAAATACTTCTGATTGAATGTTACCGCCGTTGGAGATCTCAAAGGTGATATGCCTAAATTGGTTGACATTCTCTACCGTTTCATCTTCCTGTTGCGCCTGCAGATCAGCTGTAACGGGTGCCTTTCCCGTAAGCTTCTAAAGCCGTCAGGTGACGACGCTGGCCATATCACACACCAGGAAAATATCATCTGCGAACTTCAGGTCAGCAAGGACGGATATCTTGTAGTGCGCTCTCTCTCTCTCTCTGAAGAATTAGAGCCTTCTCTTTGGCAGGGCGCCAGTACTCTTTCATAGAAGAATTCGAAAACAACGTTAAATAGCGAAGGCGAGATCATTTCTCCTTGGTGTCTGTAAGTTTTATATAGTATTGTATTTCTTTGCGAGATGAAGGACATTTGGTTCTATATCTGAGCATAGTCCAAACGTTTTCTTCCTACCCATCACATTACTATTTTGGTGTCGTTTTTGTGAATTAACTGTTGAAACTAGTAGCGCAAGCTATGTTTTTGTTTTTCTGGTGACTTCAAGCTGTCGAATATGCTGAATTATAGTTATAACAGTTTTTGTATGTCGGATTTGTATTTCCAGGCTTCCACGC